TCAGTTTTGTTCACTCCTTTTGTTATGACTTGAGTTTTGTTCACTCCTTTATTAGGCCATGGAATGGCCTAAAATCTCTTGATTAGGAATCAAACAAAGGGTAGGAATTTAAAAAAACCCAACAAACAGCACTGGCTGATTTTAATTGTTATAAATCAAGTTCCTCCTCCCAAATATTTAACTTCTGAAAGTCTCATTTCTCCTTTATATAAAAAGATAATCAAGTCAGGGCATGAGAAATACTGGATGTTTTAGACCATGTTTTCCTTACTGTGTCCAATCAAGTCTTTCCTAACTTTTGGTAGAGCATTTTTCCAGTGTTCATCCCAGAGTTTCTTAAAGATGACACAACTTCCTGCCACTAAATGATTCAACTGGATCCTTAGCTCCCCAAAATACTAGTAGGTAATATTCCATTTCACCATTTCTTACCCTATTCCCTGTGCCTTTCAACAGACGGTTTCCAATTACTTGTGGATTTCTATTGTTTAGCAATTAATTCAGGAGAACAAAGGAACTCCTGGTGTTCTCTCCAGACCAGTAGACAGCAAATGGCTGAGCCTCAGCAGCACAATTCTAAAGCCCTTCTTTCTAAGGAGACAGTGGAACAACCTGATCAAACACCGTGGCACGAGCGACAGTCTCGGGTTCAACGCTGCGGGATGCACTGCTGGTGCCAAGCACCACCTAAAAGTGCCTTTTAAAGCATTTAAAGCATGGAAAGAAAAAGGTTGCTGCTTGGCTGACATTTCTGGAGAGCATATAGGTTGACTTTCAGCTCAGGGTGAAAGAGAGCGAGTTATTTTCATTTGTTGGATGGTACCTGCTCAATGTTGTACAAACGTGTTTGTTGAGGTTTCCCCTCTTTTTCTTCCCAGGGTGTTCACCTCCAGAATAACCCAAAGAAGTCCTTCCATAATAAGAGAGACATCTAGTGAGACTGTGGGTAAGGTGCCATCTTGTGACACCTACCATGCCCTTCAACACTGCCAGGGATGGGGCAGCCACAGCTTCTCTGGGCAACCTGGGCCAGGCTCTCACCACCCTCACACCAAAGAATTTCCTCCTCATGTCTCACCTCAATCTCCCCTCTTCCAGTTTTGATCCATCCCCCTCATCCCATCCCTCCCTGCCCTTGTCCCAAGTCCCTCCCCAGCTTTCCTGGAGCCCCTTCAGGCACTGGAAGCTGCTCTAAGGTCTCCCTGGAGCCTTCTCCAGGCTGAACACCCCAACTCTCTCAGCTTGCTCTCATCCAAGTCCTCTTTGTTATAGCTGTTAAATGGCTTCTCCATTGTTTGGGTCTTAGTTTTGGATTTGTGGGAGACTTTTCACAAGCAAAATGTTAGTACAAAGAATTTCCAGCAGAATTTGTCCTCTAGTTATAAATCATTACAACCACATACAATAGATTCCCATCTAATCCCCTCAAAGAGCTGGTCTTCACCAAGGGGCTGGATGCTGGGG